TGTTACACATTATTTTTCCTTTTCTTAGTCCTATTTTCTTAGAAGCAGTGACTTCATCAGCTGTGTTGGAACACACCAGTAAGGCTACATCAGCTACGCTATTACAAAACAAAGACTTGACCTGTATTAAAACTGTAAATACTTGAAGAGACACACACACCTTGGTTTCAATGGTGTTTCCTACTAATGCACTACAGCAGCCTACTCAACTCACAGGTGTCACTGCCCAAAATTGTCTTTGTAATGGTGATGTCACCCTATCACAGTGACTGTTGGGGGGAAAAAGCAGCCACCACTTCCTGGTTCATTTTCAGCAGCAAGCTCTCCGTATTTTATTTGTTCATTCTTATCGTTTCCTCTCACTCACCCCCACCCAATCCAGCACAAGCCAAGCCAACTGAGCCTCCGAAATATTTCTGAAATCCACCCACCTCCGTCCATCTCCACGGCCATCACCCTAGTCCAAGCCACTACCAGTGGTCACCTGGATTACTGCAGTGGCCTCCCATTTTGTTTGTCTGATTCCACGTTGGGCATGCTTCAAATCCATTCTCCACCCAGCAGCCACAGTGATTTTTGATAAAGTGGATTACACCACCTCTATGCTTTTAATACTCAACGGCTTCCCAGTTCTTTTTTTTTTTAATCCTCACCTGAGGATATTTTTTCCATTGATTTTCAGAGAAAGTGGGGGAGGACGGACATCGATGTGAGAAAGATACATCAATTGGTTGCCTCCTGCACTCACCCTGACCAGTGTGCAACCAGCTCTGGGGATCGAGCCTGCAACCAAGGTACGTGCCCTTGGCCAGAATTGAACCCGAGACCCTTCAATCTGTGTGCCAACACTGTAACTATTGAACCAAACTGGCTAGGGCCTCACTGTTCTTAAATAAAGCCCTGCCTTCCTCTTCAGCCTCAATCTACACAATATCTCTAGGCTCCCAGGGCCTTTGCCTCAGGGCCTTTGCACAGGCTGCCCACCGCAATCAGGCCTCCTTCCTCTACTTTTCACTAGAAAAATTCCTCCTTATTCTTCAAGTCTCTGCCTGAGTGAGGCCATCTGCAATCTTCTTTAAGTCACGTCTTTGCTGCTCTTTTCTCTTATGATGCCTTGTTCTCTTCCTCCCCAGTACTTATCACAATACATGATTATTTATTTATGTGTTCATTTGTTTAATGTCTATATCCCTCCACAAGGCTCTGAGCTTCCTGAAAGCAGGGATTATGTCTGTTTTGGTCACTGCTGTTTACATTGTATCCCCAGCACCTGGCACACAGTAGGTATTAAAAATAGTTATGAAAAGTATGGATAAACTTTAAAGACGAGGGGGGGAAAAAGCAGTTAGGACTTTCCCCATGCTAACTGAACGCCTTACAAAAAAATTGTAATCAAATAATACCATGAAAAACACAAAGGAACATCTTTAATAGCAGCAGAACAATAACTTTGAGGTAGCTTCCCCCTTCTTAGTCATTTCACTCCATTGCCATAGCTGGTTAGGGTTTATCCCAGAGGTAACAAGGACCTGTCTTGGGCTTTGAGCTATCAGTCTGCACACTGGAGTGGGAGCGGACTGTGATTAGGTGAGAGGGAAGAGGGTTTCCAGTAAGGCCCAATATTATCTTTAAGGGGAATCCCAAGAAGAAAAAACAACACTGCTCAAATTTTCCAATCTGTTCTGAAAAACTTATGCATGTGCTTAGGAAACCTAAAGGTATAAGCACAAACACTATTTGTAATTTGTGAATCACACATCTCTATGGTCTTCTAAGTCATTTTCCTATATCCCTGTCTTTCAGAAAAACAACTCTCTAGCCCTTATTTCTTTTTAATAACTCAAATTTCCTTTGGCAACTTATTACAGCATCCTTCTACACTTACAGCTCTTCAAAACAGTTAACCTTTACTAACACCCAAATCCTTTCACACACAACCAAATTCCCTCTTAAATCTTAAAGAGATATAGGAAAATGACTCTCCATCACTCACACTCTCTCTTCATATCTGAAAGACTATTCCAGTATTAAGTTTCATGATATTTAGTTACACAATGGCCTTCTAGTCACCAGCTTGAATATTTATTTTAATCTATCTTCAACAGATAATTTCCCCAAATTTTGTTGCTCTCATCATCCTAAAGTGTTTTTTTAATCAATCTAGAATCCCAAGACTAGAGAGCTGAACAGAGAACACTACATGTTAGCCACCTGATTCTGCCTCTCAGATTCATGTCTGTTTTATAACGATGAGACTTAACTGACTCCCATTTAACTGAGGCCCAACTGAGACCCCAGGTCTTTAACAGGTTGGTATAAGTGCAAAACCAATTCAATTCTATTTCTTCTTAAGTAAAGGGGCTAGTAAATGTATCCTATCCTACATGTCAGCCTCTGTTGGGTGTTTTAAAGATGTACGTCCTCATACTAAAGTCAAGGTCCAAAAAGTCTGAGTCATTATAAAAAGCATATTCTCTTGACTCCAAAGATATGACAGATGGGGACTTATCAAAAGAACAAATGGAAATATTAGCACAGTTAGTTCTTATGCCTTGAGTTTCAGCTTCTAGACCCATGACAAAAGTCATACTCTACAGCAGCAATCTTCTCTGCTGGAGATGAACACACACACACAAAAACCAACAGGCTAAGATTTGAGCTTCTGTTTTGTTTCTGGTTTTTAATGTCTAAGGTGGAGTCAAATCATTAATGACTAGTTCAAATGACTTCCTAGCCCAACGAGTTTCTGTTACGATTCTGCCTCTCAGTGTATCTCTCATTCTCCAAATCTCAACAATCTTGAGGGCCCAAGTGATGTCCCCTGGCATCAGACAGAGTTTGTTTAACTGGGTTCCCCCAGCACCTTAGAAAGTCCCAGAAAGTGACAGATGGAAAGCCTGTCCTTTCACCTACTGCTAGAGGAGCAAAAAAAAGAAGCCGTCCTTTGCAGTTATAAAAAATAAAAATAAAAAACCATCAACTAAGCACCATTTTCCTACAATCTGATACTCTAAGTGGTAATCGGCTCATATAATAGACAGGAGTAACCAATCTGGGTTTAGGATTACATTGGAGGGGATGAGAAAAATGAAGATACAAAACCTAAACACTTCCTGAAATCGGGAGCTTAAGGAGGTTTCCACTCCTCACAAAGCAGTAACAGAACGTTTTGAATCTATACACAGGCCCCATTAATCCAGGAACCCATAAACATCTTACAAACATTAATTAAGTCAGGCAACAAGCTCCATCCATAAATAGGGAAACTTGGGTGTAGAGAGACCAAGCAGCCTGAAGCCCAACAATGAGTCAGGACCAGAGTGGGCAAACAGACCCAGGAATCTGGAGTCCCCATCTCTGGCAGGGAGATGCACTCTCTCTTTCAGGGTAATAAGGTGTTCCCATAAGAAACAGATGGCAGAGGCAGATGATAATATCCACACATCTTGGGTTGGGACCAAACAAAGGACTGCCAACGGTGCCCAGTTGAAGCTGGAAAGGAAGCCAACCCAAGGCCCCAAATGTCATTTCATCAAATGAAAAATGAGCATAGTTTCAGCCCCTCCTTAGCAAAAGGCACTGCTCACCTTATGGCTTGTAAATTGATGCCATGAAGATATCCCATCCATCCTCACCTTAAGGCTCTCTGTTTTTATCTGATTTGAGTTCAGAAATGCCTATTCATCTTTGGCCAGATAAGCGAATCAGGTATTGTATTTGAAAGCACGCATGGTGAAATTGGACCCACCCTACAGAAAAAGGAGTCTGGAAATTTCAAACCCTCTGGTTTTTCCTGTCTCCTTCACAAGGGAAAGTTAAAATACCGTTTATATCTAAAACACAAAATGTGAATCAGTGTGCTTCATAAACTGCAGGGGCTAGGTGGTAACATGACTGGCTTGCATATTTAAGTTAAGGTCCAGGAAGTAGCCAATTAAGCAAAACGAGGCTATCGCTTCCCGTATAACTAGATGAGCACATTCAAATGTTCCATTCCAAACACCTGCGAAAGAGAACAAATAACTGGGTAACATCTTGGAGTGAATTGAGTTTTGCCCATCTTTCCCGGCAGGAGTGAGATAACACTAACAACATAACTCCTGACTGGGAGCTAGAGGTGAGCAGCCATCTGCTGGGAGTAGGGCCAGAGAGAGCTTGACAAACTCCAAAGAAAAACAATGCCTCCCTCCCAGCTGAGCTGGGCCAAGGGCAGACCCTGGCTCCAGCCATCACTGGGAAATCCTTACTAATTTGGGGCTCAGGCAAACAGGGTTAATGTTTTTCCTTCTGAAGGTTAAGAACAAACCGTTCCAGCATTCTTTGGGGAGGAGAGGGGGAAAGGGAGGGGCAAATTCTCTTGAGGAACCCCTTAGGCGTGGGGAGGTGGGGGTGGGAGATGGCCGTCGCCAGGCGACCCGCACTCCCCACTGCAGGCCCCCACCTCCGCCCACCCCTCCCTGTAACGCCCGGCTGCGTCCCTGGGTGAGCCTCTAGAGTCAGGGCGTGTCAGCGGGTCTCATTCCTCCAGTTAATCCCCTCGGATCCGTGGCCCGGCCATTCTCAGCTCAGTGCCCAGAACAGTAAAACACCCAGGAGGCTTTCCACATAATTAGTGCGTATATCAAATATACGTACTACCCACACTGACAACGGGAATTCCTCGGGCCACATGTAATTTCAATTCATCAAAAATTCATCAAGCGCTTACTAAGTTTCAGACGCTGAGCGACGTCCTGCAGGTTCAAAATCGCCCCACGTACCCTCCCTCTTCCAGAGCCCACACACTCGGCGAGCTGGGGCGGGACGGCCGAAGCAGCTGAAGGTCGGTGAGGGTACTATCACTGGCCCAGGGGTCCCTCTTGAAAGGTCTCTCTCTGTCCGCCCCCTTGAGATACAGCAGCGCCCGGACTGCGCGATCTCTCTAAAAGGATCTCACCGCCCAGGCCGCCCCGCACTGCCCGAGCCGCTGGCCCGGGCCCTCGCCCCCGGCCCGCACTCACTGGGTCTTCCTGCGGCCCTGGTCCCGATGCAGCTCCCGCAGGTCCACCTCGACGCGGCCCAGGAACTTGTCGAGGCCGAGCAGCGCGCGGTGCAGCACGGTGAGCT